AGTAGAAGGTGAAAGTGGTGTGACTCTGGATATGACTTGAAAAGGAAGGTCAGACATGATGTTTGGATTGCTCCACAGGTCTCTTCCTTAAAGAAACCCATTAGATCTGCTTCTCCAACTCTCTTTCATGTTGTACTGGGTGGTCATTTCCTTTTTTTTTTTTTTTTATTTATGATAGTCACAGAGGGAGAGAGAGAGAGAGGCGCAGAGACATAGGCAGAGGGAGAAGCAGGCTCCATGCACCGGGAGCCCGATGTGGGATTCGATCCTGGGTCTCCAGGATCGCGCCCTGGGCCAAAGGCAGGCGCCAAACCGCTGTGCCACCCAGGGATCCCTGGGTGGTCATTTCTACTACAAAGAGTCAGGAAACAGAAATGCTGAGTTTCCCAAAATCTATTCCTGCCACTTTTCCCTAGTGAGTACAGGCTGCCCCTCCCAGCCACATTTCAAAACAAGGGCCTCTCACCATTGTAATTCTTCCCTCTCTTATAGATGGGTCTTCACAATTATAGGATCTAGTTTTCTAACACAGAGACCAAAATACACATAGGATCCACTGTACTGCTATGTTTTGTTCACCTGTCTGATTATATTCTCTCTCTCTCTTTTTAAACTTTTTTTATTATTTTTAAAGCTTCAGGTCTCTTCTGATTTGTTTAGAATATATTTCTTTAGGACTGTTGTTGCCTTTTTAGTATTTTGTTCTCTTGTTCATCTATTTTTTCTCCAGACAGAACTACAAGATGGAAAAACTCACCTGAAGAAAGAGAACAAGAGGCAGTACTGACTGGCAGGGACCTAATCAGTATGGATATAAGATGTCAGAAATATAGTTCAGATTAACAATTATAAAGATATTAGCTGGGCTTGAAAAAAGTGTAGAGGACACTAGAGAATCCCTTTCTGGAGAAATAAAAGAACTGAAATTTAATCAAGTTGAAATAAAAAAGGCTATTAATGAGAAACAATAAAAATGGAGGCTCTAGCTACTAGGATAAATGAATTAGAAAAGAGAATTAGTGATATAGAAGACAAAATGATGGAGAATGAAGCTGAAAAAAGAAAGATGAACAACTACTGGATCACAAGGGGAGAATTCCAAAGATAAGTGATACCATAAAGCAAAACAATATTAGAATTAATGGCATCCCAGAAGAAGAGGAAAGGAGGGTATGCAGAAGGTATATAGGAGCAATTTATAGCAGAGAACTTCCCTAATCTGGGGAAGGAAAGAGGAATCCAAGTCCAGGAGGCACAGAGACCCCCTCCCACCAAAATCAACAAAAGTAGGTCAACACCTCCACATATAATACTGAAACTCGCAAATTTTAGAGAAAAAGAGAAAATGCTGAAAGCAGTTCAAGACAAGAGGTCCATAACCTACAAGGGTAGAAACATTAGACTGGCAGCAGACCTATGCCCAGAGACCTGGCAGGCCACAAAGGACTGGAATGATATATTCAGGGTGCTAAATGAGAAAAATATGTTGCCAAGAATACCTTATCCAGCTAGGCTGTCTTTCAAAATAAAAGGAGATACAAAAAAGCTTCTATGACAAAGAAAAACTGAAAGAAGTTTGGATCACTTCCCTACAAACCAGCCCTACAAGAAATGTTAAAAGGGATCCTTTAAGTGAAGAGGTAAATAGACCAGAATGAGGCAGAGACAATATCCAGAAACAGTGACTTTACAGGTAATAAAATGGCACTAAATTCATACTTTCAATGTTACTCTGAATGCAAATGAGCTAAATGCCCCAATCAAAAGACACATGGTAACAGATTGGATTAAAAAAGCAAGACCCATGGATGCTGTCTGCAGGAGACTCACTTGAGACACAAAGACACCTGCATATTAAAAGTGAGGAGGTGGAAAACCGTTTATCACGCTCATGGACATCAAAAGAATGCAGGGATAGCAATCCTTATACCAGACAAATTAGATTTTAAACCAGACTGTAATAAAAGATGAAGGACACTATGTCATAATTAAAGGCTCTATCTAGGGACGCCTTGGTGGCTCAGTGGATGAGCATCTCCTTCAGCTCAGGGCATGATCCCAGGATCTGGGATCGAGTCCCACATCGGGCTTCCTGTGGGTAGCCTGCTTCTGCTTCTGCTTCTGCCTCTGCCTCTGCTTCTGCCTCTGTCTCTGTGTCTCTTATGAATAAATAAATAAATCTTTAAAAAAGGGTCTACCTAACAAGAAGATCTATCAATTGTAAAAATTTATGCTCCTAACATGGGAGCAGCCAATTATATAAACCAATTAATAACATAATTAAATAAACATATTGATAATAATACAATAATAGTAGTAGACTTTTTTTTAATAGTAGGAGACTTTAACACCTGACTCACTGCAATGGACAGATCATCTAAGCAGAAGATCAACAAGGAAACAAGGGCTTTGAATTACACACTGGACCAGATGGACTTCACAGACGTATTCAGAGCATTCCAACCTAAAGCAGCAGGATACATATTCTTCTTGGGTGCACATGGAACATTCTCCAGAATGTGACACATATCTGGGTCACAAATCAGGTCTCAACTGGTACCAAAAGATTGGGATCATTCCTTGCATATTTTTAGACCATAATGCTTTGAAACTGGAACTCAATCAAAAGAGGAAATTGGAAAGAACTCAAATACATGGAAGCTAAAGAGCTTCCTACTAACAAATGAATGGGTCAACCAGGAAATTAAAGAAGAATTTAAAAAATTCATGGAAACAAATGATAATGAAAACACAACTGTTCCACAGAATATAACCTTTGGGATCCAGGAAAAGCGGTCCTAAGGGGAAAGTATATTGTAATACCTTTCTCAAGAAGCAACAAATGTCTCATATACATAACCTAATCTTACACTGAAAGAAGCTGGAGAAAGAACAGCAAATAAAGCCTAAACCCAGTAGGAGAAGGGAATTAATAAGGATTAGAGCAGAAATCAATGAAATAAAAGCCAGAAGAACAGTAGAACAGATCAAGGAAACCAGGAATTGGTTTTTTGAACAAATTAATAAGATTGATAAACTCCTGGCTCGACTCATCAAAAAGAAAAGACAAAGGACCCAAATAAAATACAATCATGAATGAAAGAGGAGAGATCACAACCAACACTGAAGAAATACAGTTATAACAACATATTATGAGCAACTATATGCCAACAAATTGAGCAATCTGAAAGAAATGGATGCATTGCTAGACATGTATAAACTACCAAAACTGAAACAGGGAGAAACAGAAAACCTGAATAAGAACCATACCAGCAAAAAAATGAAGCAGTCATCAAAAATCTCCCAAGAAACAAGAGTCCAGGACCAGATGGCTTCCCAGGGGAATGTGTTTTTTTTTTTTTTTTTTAAGATTTTACTTCTTTATTCATGACAGATACACAAAGAGAGGTAGAGACATAGGCAGAGGGAGAAGCAGGCTCCCTGAAGGGAGACTGATGCGGGACTGGATCTCAGGACCCCTGGATCATGCCCTGAGCCAAATGCAGACGCTCAACCACTGAGCCACCCAGGCATCCCTTCCCAGGAAAATTCTACCAAACATTTAAAAAAGAATTAGTACCTATTCTTCTGAAGCTGTTTCAAACAACAGAAATGGAAAGAAACCTTCCAAAGTCTTTCTATGAGGACAGCATTACCTTGATCCCAAAACCAGACAAAGACCCTATCAAAAAGCAGAATTACAGACCAATATCTCTGATGAACATGGATACAAAAATGCTCACCAAGATATTAGCCAGTAGGATCCAACTGTACATTAGGATTATTCACCACGACCAAGTGGGATTTATTCCTGGACTGCAGGGGTGGTTCAACATCTGCAAATCAATCAGCGTGATGCACTATATTAATAAAGTAAAGGACAAGAACCATATGATCTTCTCATAGATGCAGAAAAAGTATTTGACAATGTACAGCATCCTTTCTTGATTAAAACTCTTCATAGTGTAGTGATAGAGGGAATATACTTCAATATCATAAAAGCCATATGTGAAAGTCCACAGCAAGGGATCCCTGGGTCGCGCAGTGGTTTGGCGCCTGCCTTTGGCCCAGGGCGCGATCCTGGAGACCCGGGATCGAATCCCACATTGGGCTTCCGGTACATGGAGCCTGCTTCTCCCTCTGCCTGTGTCTCTGCCTCTCTCTCTCTCTGTGACTATCATAAATAAATAAAAATTTTAAAAAAAATTAAAAAAAAAGAAAGTCCACAGCAAGTAGAATATCATTCTTAATCTCTTTCAAACTGAGAGCTTCCACTCACTAAGGCCAGGAATGTGGCAGGGATGTCCACTATCACTACTGTTGTTCAACATAGTACTAGAAATCCTACCCTCAGCTATCAGATAACAAAAAGAAATAAAAGGCATCTAAATCAGCAAAGAAGAAGTCAAACTCTCACTCTTTGCAGTTGACATGATACTCTATTTGGAAAACCCACAGACTCCACCCCAAATTGCTAGAACTCACACAGGAATTCAGCAAAGTGGCAGGATAGAAAATCAATGCACAGAAATCAGTTGCATTTCTAAACACTGACAATGAGACAGAAGAAAGAGAGATTAAGGAGTCACTTCCATTTACAATTGCACTCAAAGCCTTAAGATACCTAGAAATTTTTTTTTGTTTTTTTTTTTTTAAGATACCTAGAAATTAACCTGGAGGGGTGTGGGGGCCTGAGGCCTGGAGGCTGGCAGGGGCTTCATCCCAGGACCCTGAGATCATGACCTGAGCTGAAGTCAGACACTTAATCACCTGAGCTGTGCAGGTGCCACTCCAGGGCTGTTATGTAATAACTATTGGAGAGCTGGAACTGGAGCCAGATCGAGATTCCATCAAGGATTTCAGCAGTGAGCAAATTTTATCCAATCATGTCTGTAAATGCATCATTGACTCCACACCATATAAAAGGGAGGAGACTTAGGAAGGCCTGTCAGATGAATCCAGTGTGGATAGTGAGTCACATAGCGGCCCAGCTTTCAGCCCAAAACTGCCCAGTTTGAAGTTCAATCTTCCTGAGGTGAGTTTCTAGGATGAAAGGAAAATTTCTTTTTTTAATAATAAATTTATTTTTTATTGGTGTTCAATTTGCCAACATACAGAATAACACCCAGTGCTCATCCCGTCAAGTGCCCCCCTCAGTACCTGTCACCCATTCACCCCTACCCCCACCCTCCTCCCCTTCCACCACCCCTAGTTCGTTTCCCAGAGTTAGGAGTCTTCATGTTCTGTCTCCCTTTCTGATATTTCCTATCCATTTGAAAGGAAAATTTCTGATTTTGTGTGTGTAAGTGTGCATGCATGTGTATGTAAGCATACCTCTGAGGAGGAAATTCCTGGTGCAAAGTTATGGGGGGTCCCTCAAGTGTGGGATGGTCTATTGTGTTAACTTCTCTATAAAAACCTTGCCTGATTGCAAGAGACTTCTTGAGAAAGCCTTTTTTGTATGTCTCTGTTGTCTTGTTATTTTTATGTTTCTAGTAATTCACTTTTATTACATCTTGTGAATGTGTTGGCCCACAGTAGATTGGGATGAGTGGGTAGGAGCTAAAATTCAAAGGAGGGATATCAGGTATTTAGCAGACTTTACTGAGTTGCTTAACATGAGCCAGCAAATGCTCCAGTAGTCTTCCTAGGTATTAACTCTTTTAGCTCCCATTGAAACTCTGGGTTCTAGGTGTCATCAGAGATCAGAGCCCCCATGACATAGATAAGAACCCAATGGGTAATGTGCCGTGGTCACACAGTTCATAAATGCCCGACTCCAGGTTAAGCTGGGCTTTGTTTCATTTTGTTTTGGGATATAATTGATGTATTACATTGTTAGTTGCAGATGTATAACATATGATTCGATATTTGTATATATTGCAAAATGATAACACAGTAAGTCTAGTTTACATCCATCATATTAATAGTTTCATTTTTTTTTCTTGTGATGAGAACTTTTTAAATTTTTTTAACTTTTATTTATTCATGATAGTCACACACAGAGAGAGAGAGAGGCAGAGAGAGAAGCAGGCTCCATGCACGGGGGGCCGGACGTGGGATTCGATCCCAGGTCTCCAGGATCGCGCCCCGGGCCAAAGGCAGGCGCCAAACCGCTGCACCACCCAGGGATTCCCCGTGATGAGAACTTTTAACATGGCAGTCAGGTTTTTTTTAATTTTATTTATTTATTTATGATAGAGAGAGAGAGAGAGGCAGAGACACAGGCAGAGGGAGAAGCAGGCCCCATACACCGGGAGCCCGACGTGGGATTCAATCCGGGGTCCCCAGGATCGCGCCCTGGGCCAAAGGCGGGCGCCAAACCGCTGCGCCACCCAGGGATCCCGGCAGTCAGTTTTTAATTCCAAGGTTTTGGCTGTAATAATACTCCACAGCTGTGTCTGTGTGGGATTCAGAGCATGTGTGCAAGTATGAGCATGTGGCTCCTGTGTGCCTGGAGTAATACAGAAAAAGAACTTGTGGGGAGGCCCAAAAGAAGAAGAGGGCATGGATTCTACAGTAGAAAGGAGAGGGAGGGAGGGAGGGAGGGAGGGAGGGGGACTGAGGTACCTGGATATAAAAAACCAGCCACAACACCTAAGGTGAGGATGGAGGGGTGAGATGCCTCTGGCAAGGTTTCCTGAGACGGGGAAGGACTTGGTACTTTTCTTGAGGAAGAGGGAGGTGTAGAGGGAGTAAAGTGGAGTGTGACCTGAGCAGATGAGGATGTTGGAAAGGTTGACTAGAAGCTTTGTGATAAATGGATTAGGAAGAAGAAAGAATGTGCTCAACTTTCTCCTATGGGGTTTTTCCAGAATCCACTGCCTCATTAACTGATGGGATCAGGGTGGCTAGTCTGAGCAAAGCTTAACACAAAGCATGAAACAAAATCGACTAACAGCAATTAATTAGGTCTTTGTGTGCCCACGTATCAATCCTACCATTCACATTTTTCTGATTTTTGTGGCGTGAAATTTGCTTTTTTTTAAGAAAATATTTTACTTATTTATTTGAGAGAGGGAACCTGTGGCAGGGAGGGGCAGAGGAAGAGGGAGAAGCAGACTCCCCTCTGAGCAGGGAGCTCAATGTGGGCCTTGATCCCAGGACCCTGAGATCATGACCTGAGCCAGAGGGAGACACTTAACTGATTGAGCCACCCAGGCACCCTGTGCTGCATTTTAAAAAAAAATGAATGAATGACTTTACTTGATGAATACTATTCATTTTTTTTTTTTACTTCTCGTTTTAATGTAGTCCAGTGTGTCAGTCTCGTCTGTGGAAAAGGAAATTCCTGTTGAGTTCTTCCTGTTGAATAAAGAATATCTTTTTCTACTACAAGTTATTAAATATATTCTTCCAGTTGGTCTTCTAGAAGTTTTATTTTACTCAACTAAGACATCCCTAGAACTAATTTTTGTAAATGGGGTAAGACTGGGACGCCTAGGTGGCTCAGCGGTTGAGCACCTGCCTTTGGCTCAGGGCGTGATCCTGGGGTCTTTGGATCAAGTCTTGCATCAGGCTCCCCGTGAGGAGCCTGCTTCTCCCTCTGCCTATGTCTCTGCCTCTGTGTGTGTCTCTCATGAATAAATAAATAAAATGTTTAAAAAAAATTAAATGGGGTAAGATTGGGGTCAGGATGAACTTTCTCCTTTATGAAATCTTTATTTTTTTAATGTTTTTTTATTTTTATTTATTTATGATAGTCACAGAGAGAGAGAGAGAGAGGCAGAGACATAGGCAGAGGAAGAAGCAGGTCCATGCACCGGGAGCCTGACATGGGATTCGATCCTGGGTCTCCAGGATCGCGCCCTGGGCTAAAGGCAGGCACTAAACTGCTGCGCCACCTAGGGATCCCAACTTTCTCCTTTATGAATATTCAGTTGACCTAGCACCATTTATTGGAAGAAAAAATTAAGCTTACTATCAGCACATGCACTTCAGTGTCATGTTTTATAGAAAGCCAGCGGCAGTATAGCCGTCAACCAATATCAGGATAATATTCTGTTTGGTTGCCTTATTTGTCTATCCTTGTGCCATCATCACAGTCTTAATGAATATAGTCTCATAATTGTTTTGTTTTGTGATTATATAAATCCTGAAATAGTTATTATTCTTCAGGATTGTCTTGGCTATTTTTAGCCTACACATGTCACTGTAATTTTAGAATCAGCTGTCAATGTTCACATACACACACACACCACACACAAACACAACCACTTGCTGGATTTCCAATGGCATGGCATTGAATTTATCCAGCAACTTGGGGATAAATGATGTTTTCCATATTACTCACCCATTAGAAACGACAAATACCCACCATTTGCTTCAACGTGGATGGAACTGGAGGGTATTATGCTGAGTGAAGTAAGTCAATCGGAGAAGGACAAACAGTGTATGTTCTCATTCATTTGGGGAATATAAATAATAGTGAAAGGGAATATAAGGGAAGGGAGAGGAAATGTGTGGGAAATATCAGAAAGGGAGACAGAACATAAAGACTCCTAACTCTGGGAAACGAACTAGGGGTGGTGGAAGGGGAGGAGGACGGGGGTTGGGGGTGAGTGGGTGACGGGCACTGAGGCGGACACTTGACAGGATGAGCACTGGGTGTTATTCTGTATGTTGGTAAATTGAACACCAATAAAAAATTAATTTATAAAAAAATGATGTTTTCCAACTGGAATTGAGTCTTGCAATTCACGAACATAGCTATCATTTATGAATATAATATTTATTAATATTGTTTTTCCATAGAGGGCTTGTACATTTTCATTCGACTTTTTCTGAGATATTTGATGTTTAATGGTAATACATTAGTTGAGTATTTTTTAAATTTAATTTTCTAGTGTTATAATACAATCCAACAGATTTTGGTAAATTAGTCTTGTATCAGACATCTTGCAAAAATTCACCTTGTCTAATATTCGTAGAAAGGGGAACCCTCTTGCACTGTTGGTGGGAATGTGAATTGGTACAGCCACTCTGGAAAACTGTGTGGTGTTCCTCAAAGAGTTAAAAATAGAGTTCCCCTACCACCCAGTAATTGCACTCCTGGGGATTTACCCCAAAGATACAGATGCAGTGAAAAGCTGAGACACCTGCATCCCAATGTTTATAGCAGCAATGTCCACAATAGCCAAACTGTGGAAGGAGCCTTGGTGTCCATCAAAAGATGAGTGGATAAAGAAGACATGGTATATGTATACAATAGAATATTAGCCATTAGAAACGACAAATACCCACCATTGGCTTTGACGTGGATGGAACCGGAGGTTATTAGGCTGAGTGAAGTAAGTCAATCGGAGGACATTCATTATATGGTTTCAATCATATGGGGAGTATAAAAAATAGTGAAATGATTATAGTGGAAAGGAGAGAAAATGAGTGGGAAAAATTAGAGAGGGTGACAAAACATGAAAGACTCCTAACTCTGGGAAACGAACAAAGGATAGTGGAAGGGGAGGTGGGTGGGGGATGGGATGACTGGGTGATGGGCACTGAGGGTGGCAATTGACGGGATGAGCACTGGGTGTTATACTATATGTTGGAAAATTGTACTTCAATAAAAAGAATATATGTATATATATAAAAAGAACATTTGATACTTTATTGGAAACAAAATCAGGACATGTACAAAAAATGATATTTAATATATTTTCTTGCCTTTTTTTTACTGATTAAAAAGTAGTCCAAGGTTGCATAGAGTTGGCCATCCATCTCTCAGGGGAAAACACTTAAGGATATGTTTTGCTGTATTTTGTATACTTTATGACATTAAAGAAGTTCTCTTTATTCCTCGTTTACTAAATGTCTTTTGATAAAGAGCACTGACTTTCATTAAACATGTTTAATGTACCCAAGGATCATATTGTTTTTCTAAGCTCTATTCATGTGGTAATTGACTTTTTAATTTTCACCCAATGTTTCATTTAGAAAGTAAACTCCACTTGTTTTGTAATATATTATTCTCTTTATATGTCACTGGATTTGATTTGCAAATATTTTGCTTCCCATTTCTATACCTCTCATTTGTGAGAGATCCTGACCTGTAGTGTACCTTTCTTTCTTTTTTTTTTTACATTTTATTTATTTATGTATTCATGAGAGACACACGCAGAGAGAGGCAGAGGCATAGGCAGAGGGAGAAGCAGGCTCCATGCAGGGAGCCAAATGTGGGACTCGACCTTGGGACTCCAGGATCACGCGCTGAGCGGAAGGCAGAGGCTCAATCCCTGAGCCACCCAGGCATCCCTGTAGTGTACCTTTACTTAATGTACTTATAATTTTTTTGTTATCAGGGAGCTGCTGAACTCATTAACTAAAAGGGAGTGATCCCACTTTTTTATGCTCTGGGGACAGTTTATGGAAGATTAGCATTCTTTCTTAAATGTCTAGTAGAGTTCATCCACGAACTTACCTGAAACTAGATTTTTGAATTATGCCAGTGCTGTAATTAATTATATATCCCTTCTATTTTTAGCTTGCAGTCTTCAACCAGCAGTTGAAACAGACCTCCAGAGAAACAAATCAGTAGGAACTGAATATCTAAAGTTGAATCTCTGAGAATTCTTGTTAAGAATGGCTTCAGATAACAGAATATCATTTCAGGGAGAACCATCTATGAATGATCCTGGGTCAGAAAACCTAGAACATAAACTTAGCCAAGGACCAGCCATTCAGGAGGAGGACGAGATCTATGAGTTCCCAAGCACTCAGCTCACTTTATTGCAAAACAGTAACTCAAGTGCAAGGCAGGAACTGCAAAATCTCTACAAGTTATTTCACTCATGGCTGCAACCAGAGAAACACAGCAAGGATGAGATTATTTCTCATCTGGTCTTGGAACAGTTTATGATCAATGGCCACTGCAGTGACAGGTCCATATTGAAAGAGAAATGGAATGCAAGTGGCAGGAACCTGGAGAAATTCATGGAAGATCTGACTGATGATGGCATGAAGCTACCTGGATTAGTAAGTAGAGGGTTTTAACTCTTGGGGTGAGGGGCAGAGGTGTGTAAGGATTAAATATAGCCGTTAAAAAAATACAGCCTGTTGGAGTTGCTTGTAAGTAGATAAAGAATCCATTTATTAGTTCTCACAAAAGAGGCTCTTTACCATGCTAAGTAAGCAAAATTAAAGCATACATTTTATAGGTAACTATTCAGTAGGACATATAAGAGCTAACATACTAATTGATTTTAGCCAGTGAGATGGTATGAGAGCTCAGTAAGAAATTGGCAATAGAACAGAAACCTCAAGAATGGGGAGAAATACCTTAACACAAGCTCATTCTTCCCTCAGAAGTCCTTGGTATTAGTCTTTTTTCATTGAGAATGACACACTAATTAGAAATCACCATGAACTTTAAGGCCGGCAGGCATAAGGGCAGAATAGTGGGTGTGGCAGCATGTAGTAGAAGGATCCTGGGAAAGCCTGATGAGAGCAGAGCTTCCACAAAGGCTTCTGTCACTCAACAGATCCATAAATGACAGTGATCAGGCTTTGTTTCTCTACAGGTCCACGTCCACATGAAGGGTCAGGAAGCCCTCTTTTCTGAGAATATGCCCTTAAGAGAAGTCATCGTTCATTTCATGAAACAATTGTCAGCAGGAACCCCAACAGAAGAGAACATGGGGACACCCTCCTGGACTTCCCAAGATACTTCCCTGGAAACAGGACAAGGTGAGTGGGGGTAAGCCAAGGTACCAGAGGGATGTTGTGTGTGGACTCCCTTCTTGGGTACAACTTCACTGAGTCGTTTTATCCCCCACAGTGAGATAAAGCAAATGGCGACAACATTTATCACAATGACGGTATTACTAGTCAAGGCAATGCAATACCTTCCCTGTTCATTGTCCATGAGGAGGACTGTCCTCAGCCTGAAGAGGACAGTGTTTCTTTGAAGAATCTGCTCAGCCCTGGAAGAGCGGGTCTAGGTACGTCCAAGTCCCAGGAAGGGTCCCTGCAAGGACGCCCATATCAAGATGTCCTGATGGAGGGGGCACCAGGGTTTCACTCTCGGTCAACCCCAGTCACCCCTGACCCTGTTTCTACCCACCAAAAAACCGATGGGAATTCCACATGTAGGGGACCCCAAGAAAGATTCCGTGATGCCCAAAACTCCTACAGATGTGAAAAATGTCCCAGGATCTTTAGGTATTTCTCTCAGCTAAAAGCCCATCAGAGAAGACACAACAATGAGAGGACATTCATTTGTGCTGAGTGTAACAAAGGCTTCTTCCAAGCGTCAGACCTACACGTGCATCAGAAGATTCACACAGAAGAGAAGCCTTTCAGGTGCAGCACATGTGAAAAATCCTTCAGCCACAAAACCAACCTTCTGGCCCATGAGAGAATCCACACGGGTGAGAAGCCCTATGTATGTGCGCTTTGCCAGAGAAGCTACCGCCAGTCATCCACCTACCACCGCCACCTGAGGACTCACCAGAAAATTGCCGTCAAAGGTACTCCTTCCACATCAGAAGCTTCCTCAGCTGTAGCCTCAGTGTAATGCTATGTGAATATGTATGGAAATACGTATATTTCCATAGCACCTCCCTATTTAGAACATATAATTTCCTGATTATATTTTCCATTTATTTTCTTCACTAAAATGTAAGTTTAAGGAGGAATTTCTGTTCGTTCACTGGAGTGTATCTCAGGTGCCCAGAAAAGTGGCTGACAAAAAATTCAAATAACCTGCTGAATAAATGGATGAATGTGTAATGTTGGTGTTTATTCCTTAAAATCCATGAAAGTTCAACTCCAGGACACAAACACCAGCTTCCAGTGGTCAAGTGATGCTTTCCCTCCTGCTCCCCTGCCTCTGTCCACACACTTTATCTTTACTGGGGCAGAGCAGGGGCACAAACCCAGAAATAGGCCTTAGTCTATAAAAGGGAACTTCTATATTCAAATGTTATATTTCTTTAATTCACTTGATATATTAATGGCTAAACTTCATCTGATATGATTGGTGATTGAAAGTTTGAGAATGCTATTTTATTGACAAATAAATACCAAAAAAGGTCAAATGCTTTCCGTTCATTTCTTCCAGAGATGGCAGGTATGGGGTGGGGGTGGGGGTGGGGGGGGATGAGGAGCTCATTTGCAGAACTAGTTTGAAAGGGCACTTTGGAGGAAATAAAAAGATGCTGTGCACAGCTGAGGCAAAAGCACTTATGTTGGTTACTTGGAATATATTTGTGAGCTGGTTTCCACTAGGAAACTGGGACTCAATCACATTGAGAAACTAGAAGGTACCATGTGAAAATGGCTTCAATCATGGAAGGGGGTATTCTGTGAGGTATATTGTGACATTTCTCTCACTACATTTCATAGTGCAGAGGACTATGGGGCTGCAGACAATGCTCCACTGTGTGGAGAGGCCCACTGATCCATCCTCTTTCCTGGGCTGTCTCCAGGTGTTTACTATTGTGAATATTCTTGCACATACCTCTTGGTACAAGGGAAACCTTTTGTTTGGAAAGACCTCTGTGAGGCAGGTTGTGAAATAACAGAAAATATATATGTGGGTCTCTGTCCCTAGTTCCAGGCACAGAGCCCCTAAAACCCTTGTAACTTCTTAAGTGATGAGAGCACTAGAAGCATCTTTTGTTCTAATATTTGGTCTTTGACCTTGGTGCCTGATACAGAACCCCAAAATCACTTGGAATTTCCTGGGTGATAGGAGTGTCTTTTGTTTCAGTGAGGCAACTCCCGGGTAGCTTCAGGATGGGGGCTGGTCTCCAGAAAGACTAATCCATGAGTAGACGCTTAGGACGTTCATCCCTATCCACAGTGGAGGGGAGCTAGAGATTGAGTTAATGATCAATCATACCACAGAGTTTGGAGAACTTGGTGAACACCCACGTGCCAGGAGGGAGGCACACCCCCAACTCCATGGGACAGAAGCTCCTGTGCTGGGGACCCTTCCAGACCTCACCAAGCCTGGCAACATAAATGCACAAATACTCAGAGACTCATGAGACAGGCATGTCATGGGGACACCCAAACAACACAGAATTGTGTAGTCCCCACAGACCAAGTGTGATGAGGGGGATGGGTGTAGAGATAGTCTAGCTTAGAGAAAACAACCTATCCCATCTCTGCATATTTGATGACGCGCTGGTGGGAGTCAGAACAGAAAGTTGGGTGCACACCTTGGTACAGCCCGGAGGCTCACACAGGTTTGAAGACTTACAGGTGGTGGGGAAAAAAACAGCTGGGGCCCAGAATTCATTACAGGTTAATGCTTGCCCCCAGGGCTAAGAAGCCTCAGTCTAGTTGGGAGAGGAAGGTGGGAGGTTTACAGGCTTTACAGGAGGGATGGGAACTTTCTAGCGGGTTGGCAGCCACTGTTTAGACAATTTGCAATTTACCAACAATGGTGAGGGAGAACTGTAAGCGCTAAGGTCTCCTGCAAGAGCTGTGGGCAGGGATATGTGAAGGCCTCAGTGTCTGCTCTCAGTTCTTCAGGGCCACCCAGCACCCATAATAGTGACAGTGATAACTGGGTGACAGCTCAGTATGGGGGCACAAGGTGGAGCGGCCACCTAGAAGCCATATTTAGGCTTCCTCCCTCCGTGGGGAGGAATTATTGCCAATGGTGGTGAGGGGACAGGATGGTCTACAGTGACACTTATGACCCGGAGAGTCTCAGGTGGAGATGTCAGGGTAGGGTTACTTGGTGGGTCAGGCTCCATGGACAGTCTGGCAGGTGAGGTGTCTGAGTGTCTTGGCCCCAGTCCTGGGCAATTTCCAATGGAGAACAGAGGCGAACAGGGTGAGAGGGTCCAGCATGGTGTAGGCTGACCGTCCCCAGCTCAGGGACGTAGCAGCTGTGCAGCCCTGTGGAAGTCCCTTGCCCTCTCTGAGAGCTAGATCCCTCCTTTGAAAAGTGGAATAGTCTCTGCACACTGTATGGTTTGCAGGCTGTTAAAATGAAATGATCCTCAAGAGAGCCCATCAGCATTAGGTCCCCATGAAAAGATGAGTGGAGGCCCTCAGCAAAGGGGAAGGGAGGGTGTGTCTGCGGAGTGCCACAGAGGGCCTGTGGCCAGAAGCAACGCCAGTGAGGGGCCTTCTGTGAACCTCTGAGACCCTGGCCTAGCGGGAGTTCTGGAGGCAAGCACCCAGGACATCTCCTGCCAGCTGTTATCATTGTTCCTGCAGAGCAAAGCAACAGCCAAAGAGCAATCCCAGACCTGTTCAAACTAGTATGAGATGTGATGGCTGCCAAATTTGACCTTTCACGAACTTTCCCCCTCATTACAATGCTAAACATCATTGCCAGAGGTGGAGACTTGACACACAAAAGAAACATACGTGTAAAAAAAAAAAAAGAAACATACGTGTATAAAGAAGCATGTTCTGGGATGCCTGGGTGACTGAGCGGTTGAGCGTCAGCCTTTGGCTCAGGGTGCCATCCTGGGTCCGAGGATCAAGGCCCACATCTGGCTCCCTGCGAGGAGCCCGCTTCTCCCTCTATGTCTCTGCCTCTCTCTCTGTGTATCTCGTGAATAAATAAATAAAATCTTAAAAAAAAAATAAAAGGAAGCACGTTCTGTCAACTGTGCTTGCACTCGCTCCCAATTCCCTGTATTTCCCCACCCTACATGCTTAGCCGTCACTCCTTTCCCGCCTCGGGTCCTTTAAAACTTTCCCTGCCTATTTTTCCAGGAGCCAATGTGACACATTTTCGTGACTGTGTCTCCCTTCAACTGCAGCTGGTGCCCCAATAAAGCCTTGACTCTGCTTTTAAATTGTGGACACAGTCTCATTTCTACCATCTCTGGGTACAAGGACCCAAATCTGATAACATCATTATGTGCTCTCTGAATCAAATAAACCATTAATTTCCACATTACATCTACTGACTGTCATTACTTCAATTCATTCTATGATTTCATGTTCAATTTAGGCCTACACTTTTCCCTTTCCCTTTCTTTTGCTTCACAGTTCCAGTCTATTATGTATTTCATTCCACTCATAATTTCTTAAATGTCTGATTTCAATTGCAAATGGATTTATAAAATGTTAAACAAATTCATCTCTGTGTACATTTAAGGTTTTGCTCTGTTAAATAACAAAATTCAACTGAGTAAGTTTTAAAGATCTAATTGGCTTTACTCAGCAATTCATGAATCTGACAGCGTCCCATCCAGTAAATAGAAAGGAGCCCCAAGGAGCTATACAAAATGGAAAACTTTTATAGGCAGAAGGGGTGGGACAAGGAAGTTACTAGCAAGGAGTAGATTGTTTCAGGCAAGATCATTTTCCTTTGGGGAGCACAAGTCTGTTGGGCCTCACTGGTGCTGATGAGGTAATTCCAGATTGTGTGCTTTAAGGTTCCACAAGTGTGAGAAGTTGAAATCATGATTAAGTTAGGTATTAAGTCCTAGTTTGATGACATGGGCTTAGGGCATGTGACTCCCTTTGGGGCCTCTTGTTTCTTTTTTTAACAGTTCCATCTGACACACTTAGCCACTCCTCCCTCCAACCTCCTAACCCAAGGGAATGAACGTTTAAATTCGTGAGAATCTACAAGACACATTTTCTCCCTCATTTACAAACATTCAGTAAAATATCCATTGACTTGCCTTTACCTGACCTGTTTGTTAAATTCATTCATTGGCTCCATTTGTTTCAAAAAGCTTACTAGTCAATATGCATCGTACGTGGAAGATATGTGGGCAATGATTTGCCATATTGGCAATTCTGTTCTATATGGTTATTTGCCAAAAGAGAGAGTATCTTTATTTTGTTTATTTATTATGTATAATATACTGAAAATAACTGAAATACAAGTGCAAGAAACCCCCCCAGTGCTTTGTTTCAACTGTTTCTAAATTTAATATCCTGGAAAAACAGTACTTTAAAATGTTACTGAGTTTTAATTTTTTTTTAATTTATTTATGATAGTCACAGAGAGAGAGAGAGGCAGAGACATAGGCAGAGGGAGAAGCAGGCTCCATGCATCAGTAGCCCGATGTGGGATTCGATCCCGGGTCTCCAGGATCGCGCCCTGGGCCAAAGGCAGGCGCCAAACCGCTGCGCCACCCAGGGATCCCATGTTACTGAGTTTTAAAAAGAACAATAACATAAGATTAGGTAATTGTATCATATGTCTATTTATGTATTCCACTCTCTGAATGGTTTTCAAAGATCTTTAAATTTTCTGGCCACTTTTAGTACTGCAAATTGTACAGTACAAATGGTGAATTATTGTTTCTTTTTTTAAAGATTTTATTTACTCGTGTGTGAGAGAGAGAGAGAGAGAGAGAGAGAGAGAGCCCCCACGCGCGTGTGCACAAGCAGGGGGTGGGGCAGAGGGAGAGGGAGAAGCAGGGTCTCCACTGAGCAAGGAGCCCAATGAGGGGCCTTTGGGACCATGACCTAAGCTGAATGCAGACACTTAACCAACTAAGCCACTAAGCCACCCAGGCAGCCCATTGTTTTTGTTTTTTTTAGACAAGAATGTTTCTGCACAATTTCTTTTAGAGGAAATTAAGCCATAATAGAATTTCAGCAAATGAGGGGATCCCTGGGTAGCGCAGCGGTTTAGCGCATGCCTTTGGCCCAAGGCGCAATCCTGGAGACCCGGGATCGAATCCCACGTCGGGCTCCCGGTGCATGGAGCCTGCTTCTCCCTCTGCCTGTGTCTCTGCCTCTCTCTCTCTGTCTCTCTCTGTGTGTGACTATCATAAATAAATAAAAATAAAAAAAAAAGAATT